GCGCCTGCAGCTCGGCCACCGAGAACACGCGGCTCTGGCAGTGCTGCACCAGCTCCGAGAAGAGCAGCGCGAAGGCGCTCAGGCTCACCTCCGTGCGCGGCCGCGCCAGCGCGCGCTCCAGCAGCGCCGACTTCCCGCGCGTGAAGCGCGCCTCCATGCCGAGGGGGGCCTGTGGGGGAGATCCGGGGCGCCAGGGATGCGGGGGTCAGGGGCGGAGCCCGGAGTGGGGGAGGACCCCCAGGACTTCCCACCGAGGGAAGGGATGATGGGGGGAAGGAAAGGGGGCTCTCCAAAACCAGGCAACGAGATTATGCCTGTAATCCCTGCTACTCAGGAGGTTGAGATCTGAGGATAGCGGTTCAAAGCCAGCCTGGGCAGGAAAGTCCGAGAGACTCTTTTCACCAATTAACCACCAGAAAACTGGCAGTGGATCTGTGACTAGAGCGCTAACCTCCAATGAAAACGCTCAGGGACTGCACCCAGGATCTGAGTTCAAGGCCCAGGTTGGGCAACCACACACACACTCAAAGTCTCCATTGTGCCAAGCCAGTCACAGACAAATAAGGGATGGTTAGGTTTATAACCTTAGCTGGATGAGTTTAGGAAAAGAGAGATAAAGGGGGACCAAAAAAGGGCGCCACCAACCAGAGAGACCCAGGCAACGTTGGGGCCAGGCTCACTCCAGTAATCCTAGCTACTCGGGTGACTGAGATCTGAGCATCACGGTTCAAAGCCATGAGACTTATCGCCAATGAACCGCCAAAAAGCCGGAAGTGGAGCTGTGGCTCAAGTGGTAAAAGTGACTTGAGTGAGAAAGCCAAGCGAGAGCCTTGACTTCAAGCTCCAAAACTGGCAAGAAAATAAAAATAAGAATTTAAAAACCTAGCCCCTGTGGGGCTGGGGGGGGCGGGGAGGGGGTCAGGACGAGGCCTGCCGAGGGCTGTGATCTCCAGCACGGACTCCCCGACCCCCAGAACTTTCCAGTTCCCCCACACACACACCCGGGGAAAGCGAGTGACTTGGGGGGGGGGAGATTGTATCTGGACCAAAGATCTGATACACTGGGGGGTTCTGATGAGGGGGGAGTTGGGTAAAGAGGGGTGTCCACAGGCCAAGCCCGGAGGGTCGGGGGACCCCACAGGTCTGGGTCAGTTCCGATCTATCCTGCGGGAAGCTCATTCGGGGTGACCTAAATGGGCCTGGGTTCGAAAGAATAGAGGAGACCCCAGGCAGGTGCTGGGAGCCCCCCACACTCCTAAATTCTTCAGGAAGGTGGTTGGGAAACTGGAAAGAGGGGGCCCGCCCGAGGCTTGGCAGAGCCTCAAGAAGGCGCAGCGGGGGGCTGCTGGAGATCCCCAGACCTCCGTCTAAATCCGGGTGAAGTCACCAGCCTGGGGAGGGGGGTGAAGACCAGGGGTAGGGGCAGGGCTGGAATGGGGTCCCCGCTCCCACCATGCAAGGAACGGGACGCCGGAAGGGATCGGGGACGAGGAAAGGCCCTCCCCAAAAGGTGTGCGTAAGAAGGGCAGGGGCCGGGGCCCCGGCAGCCCCCGAGCGCCACATGCGAACGCGGAGGCCGAGCCCCCCCTTCCAGGAGGCGGGGAGGGGTCATGGAGACAGAGCTGGGGCACTCGGGAGTAACCGCGGACTCCGAGACCCCAGCTCAGGACGCACGGACCCGGCCGGACGCGCGAAGGGGTCGCGGGCGGCGGGGAAATCTCACCGAGAATTAACAAGGCGTCGGTTCGGCTCAGTTGCTTTACAGCGCCGTCGTAAAAAAAGCTGCGCGCGCGCAAGCGCAACTGGAGCCGGGTGTTGTGGGCGTGGTCTTGTGTTGTGGGCGTGTTCGGCAGCCCGGTCGGTCCGGAGAGCGGCCGCCAGGGGGGGCGCGTGTCCACTCTACGATCTGCTGAGACCTGCGCAACAGCCCGGCGGGCGACTGAGGGCTTTGGTTGATGGAGGACAGGGTGGCGGGGTGGGGGGAGAGCAGCTCGCACGATCGCCTGCTCAGGGGCACACATTTGACGACGGGCACATGTGTCTTAACCGTGGGCATAATATGTACACGGCTTCACAGACGGTCAGCTGTGCAGTGACACCAGTGAGTTCATATGTAGGGGACTCATATACATATATACATACATACACATTATATTGTATTTTTATTATAATCATACTCTATTTATTTATTTATTGTCAATCATGGAGCTTGAACTCAGTGCCTAGGCACAGTCCCCGAGCTTTTTAGTGGTGGTGATGGTTGTGGGGCTTGAACTCAGGACCTAGGCACTGTCCCTGAGCTCTTCTGCTCTAGGCTAGCTCTCTACCACTTTGAGCCACAGCTCCACTTCCGGTTTTCTGGTGGTTCACTGGAGATTAGAGTCTCATAGACTTTCCTGCTGGGGCTGGCTTCAAACCGTAGTCATCAGATCTCAGTCTCCTGAGTAGCTAGGATTACAGGCATGAGCCACACTGACCCACTTTCCCTGAGCCTTTTTGCTCAAGGCTAGCACTCTGCCACTTAAGCCACAGTTCCACTTTTTTGGCTTTTTGGCGATTAGAGACAAGAGTCTCACGAACTTTTGTGTCCTGGATGGCTTTGAACTGTGATCCTCAGATCTCAGCCTTCTGAATAGTTAGGATTATGGGCGTAAGCCACCAGTGTGTGTATATACCATACATTATATAATATACTATATATAAAATATATTTTATATATAATATATAATGTATATATTGTATATATTATGTAGATGACCTAGGTACACTTAAGAAACATTACACACACCGGGCTACATGGACTTGAGAAATCATGTGTGCTGGTGTACATGCATGCCAGGGCACAGCCCTCAATCACAGTCTGGGGGGACACATTCACAGACACACGAAGACCTGCACGGGGGCCTTTGCTTGAGTTTATCACACGTGATTCCACCTCCAAAACACCTGCAGACCTGCAGGTCCGAAAGCCACCATCATCATCATCATAACACAAACAAAGTCATGCTGCCTCATCTGTGTTTATTATGAATCACAAAACATGAGTCCAAAAAGAGAAACAGTCCAGTGGGTGCTGTGGGTGCCAGTTCTATGAACACACAAGACAACGTGAGTGAGCACACTCAACATAACACACGCCTGTCCGTGCTGACACAGGTATGGCACCACAATGCCCACATTTACAGCAATGCACCCCCACAACAGGTCCCCAAACACCAGCACAAGGAGACCATTCTCCTGCCTGACAGGGAGACATGGGTCCCATGTCAGTAACACTCCCAGTGACCTGCTCTTGGGGTCTTTATTGAGAGCCATTGTCTGGGACATGTCTGTAATCATGTAAGTCTTGCTTACACACGTGTGTGCGTGCGTGTGTGTGTGTGTGTGTGTGTGTAGAGTGCACCAACATGCATAGAACACTGCCATGGGACAAAAGAAAACCTCCACCCACTGCAAAATATTTCCTTACTCCTGTCATCCCAGCAACTCAGGAGGCTGATATCTGAGGATTGCAGTTCAAAGCCAGCCCAGGGCAGGAGACTCTTGTCTCCAATGAACTACCAAAAAGCCAGAAGTGGAGCTATGGTTTCAATGGTCAAGTGCTAGCCTGGAGCAAAAAAAAAAAAAAAAGCTAAAAAATAGTGCAAGGCCCTGAGTTCAAGTCCTAGTACAGATACACAAACACACACACACACACACACACACACACACACACACTACAACATTCATTCTCCCTGATACATGATCCTCTATACACAGCTGGGGGACCCCCATTTTTCGTCTTCACTGGCAGGAGTGATTCCCATCTCATGCAGTGGCCAGCATGTCTGTCCTCTCCTCTATGAAGGATTAGGTTCTAGGGAATGGGAGATGTGAAGGTCAGGCAGATTAGAACCAAGGCCAGGCCCAAGGCTCCAGCCATGCCCACCACTCCCCCACAGCCTGGCTTACTTGTCTTCTCCAGTGTTTCCAGGATTTTCTGTACCTGTTCCTTGATTTTTGTTATATCTGGTAAAGGGGAAACAGAGAAGAAGCTTCATTCAGAGCCCCTATGTTCATTGTAAGCCACCTCCCTATTGGGCCACCAACCTGGGGTGCAGAAGTATCCCTATACTTTGTGCTTAATACCACACCTCCCAGCAACTCTACCCAATGGCTCCCCACACACTCCTCCCACCCACCGATATCTTCTTCCTCAAACTCTAATACCCAGTCTGGTGTTCAGCATCAAAAATAAATAATTGAGCTGGGCACCAGTGGCTCACACCTGTAATCTTAGCTACTCAGAAGAATGAGATCTGAGGATCTCAGTTCAGGCAGGAGATCTGAGGATCTCCAGCTCAGGCAGGAAAGTCTGTGACACTCATCTCAAATAACCAGCAAAAGAAAAGCCAAAGTGGAGCTGTGGCTCAATTGGGGAAACACCAGGCTTGAGCAAAACCACCAAATAAGAGTGAGAGATCCCGAGTTCGAGCTCCAGTACCAGTATCAAAGTAGTAACAATAATAATAATAATCAAACTTTTTGTGCTGGTCCTGGGGCTTAGACTCAGAGCCTGGATGCTGTTCCTGAGCTTTTTTGCTCAAGGCTAGTGTTCTACCACTTGAGCCACAATTCCATTTTTGGGGGGCTCAATGAGAGATAAGAGTCTCATGGACTTTCCTACCTAGACTGGCTTTGAACCTCTATCTGCAGATCTCAGCCGCCTGAGTATCTAGGATTACAGGTGTGAGCCACCAGTGCCCAGCTTTAATTTAATTTAAAAAAATAACCCTTGCTGGGTGCTGGTGGCTCATGCCTATAATCCTAGGTTCTCGGGAGGCTGAGATCTGAGGATAGTGGTTCAAAGCCAGCCTGGACAGGAAAGTCCGTGAGACTATTATCTCCAATTAACCACCAGAAAACTGTAAGTGGCACTGTGGCTCAAGTGGTGAAGTGCTTGCTTGAGCTGAAGAGCTCAGGGAGAATGCCCTGACTAAGTTCAAATCCCACAACTGACAAACAAAAAAAAAACAGTACAGTGATTCAAACCCCACAATCCTAGCTACTTGGGAGGCAAAGACTGAGGACAGAATAGGAATTTTAAAAAACAAAATAGTTTCTAAGACTCCATCTCAATCAATGTCTGGTACAGTGGTTCCCAGCACAGGGAAGCACAGGGGTGGGGGCTGCAGTCCAGAACCACCTAAGCACGCAGAGAAACCCTGCCTCAAATAAGCAACACTAAAAGGGATGGGAGGCATGCCTCAAATGGTCAAGCACCTGCCTAGCTAGTGTGAGGCCCTGGGTTCAATCTCCAGCCCTCCCAACAATAACAACCCCTCCCCCCATGAAGGGCAGATGTGCAAGAGCACCTGTGGGCATCATCCTCAGCTTTTGGACCTCAGCATATACTCTGTCTTCCTTGGAGATGATGGTACTCTTGGCTATGTTGATGGACTGCTGGATGGTGGTCCAGGTCCTTCTCTCTTCATCCTGGAAGTTCCGCAAGGAGTCCGAGACTAGGGGCGTGGAGTTGCGGCGTCTGAGTGATCATGCTCCCCCTTGGATGCCCACTGCAACTCCCGGGGTCTCCTTTGGGGATTTCCACTCACCATTCCAAAGCTCCGTTTTCAAGTCTAGAAGCTCTGTGGACATCTTAGAATCTGTTTAGGAGAGAGCAGGAAGAGCCTGGAACTCTGCCCCCAGAGAGCTGGGAGACAGGGTGGGGGGAAGAGTGGGGGAAGTGGGGAGACAAGCAAGTAGAAACACTGGCACCCTCCCCTCACCCCCCCCAAAATAAAACAATAAATAAGGACTCACTCTTCACCAAGACCAAGGTAGAGAGCACAATGCACAACAGGAAAAGCAGGGCCAGGAAGATGTACAGGCTCATGACGGCTCTGTGTAACCAGGCAGGGACCTGAGCCCTGTCCCCAGATGACATGGGTTGGGCTGGGACTGGGACAGAAAGGCAGGTCACGTGACCTCTAGGGTCTAATAAGGCGCCGAGGGCAACTTCATGCTTCTTGGTACCAAAAGCAACCATGAGAGCATTGGTGTCATCCAACACCCAGCCACCTTGGCCTATGATGGGCCAGCACGGTCACCATTAACAAGTTGCATCAGCACCCCGGGCTGCTCTGTGTGTGTGTGTGTGTGTGTGTTGAACTCAGATCTAGGCACTCTCATTTGGCTTTTTTGTATTTTTTTCTCGCATTTTGCCCACTTGAGCCACAGCTCCACTTCTGGCTTTTTGGTGATTTCATTGGAGATAAAGAGTTTCACAGATTTATATGTCCTGGCTTGCTTTGAACGATCAGATCTCAGCCTCCTCAGTAGCTATGAGCACAGGCAGTTATGAGCCCCGGGGCCAAGACCACTTCCTGTCACTTCGTCCTTTCCGACCAACTTGTCACTCTGACTCAGTCACAGATGCCAGCACCCAATTTTTTTTTCCTGCACAACTACCAGCAATTCCTCAGCTACCCCATCTCTCCCATGCTTTAGGCCACTATACTTTACACCACTCCCTGCCACCTTCCTGTTAGTCCCTTGTCCCTGCAGTGGCTTGCTGGAAACCCCACTCTCAAACACGGGGTGGGCGGGGAAGTTAGACAGACAGTCCACCAGGCTCACCTTGTTTGGGACCCTTGGGCTGGTCCCAACTTCGGGTCAAGGTGATATTCTCATAGTCAGGGTCAACAGCACCTAGGTGAGAGGGGACATAGAGGCCTGTTCAGACATGGAGGGCATGGCGTGGAGGGCTTGGAAATTGTGGTTTCTCCCCTCCCTCGCCCCAGCCCCTGACATACACACCCATGAACACAACAAAATTTGCAGCAGTGCAAGATAAAGCAGTGCTGGGCACCAGTGGCTCACACCTGTAATCCTAGTTACTCAGGAAGCTGAGATCTGAGGATCAAGGTTCAAAGCCAGTCTAGGCAGGAAAGTCTATGAGACTCTTATCTCCAATAAATTACTCAGAAAAACAGTGGGAAGTGCTGCTGTGACTCAAGCATTAGAGCGCTAGCCTTGAGCAAAAGCTCACCCCCACCTTCAGCCCCATCCCCTCCCACCTCAGTCTCCCCTTCTCCACCTGACTCTGGCCACCCAGAGGCTTCTGACCTTGTTCATGGCCTGGTCTCTTCCTCATCCTGTCTTTGGAAGCCGCTGTCTGCATCTCGTTCTGCTGATTTATAGAGATTTCTCTCACCTCCATGGTCCCCGGGCTGGCTGGTCTGTTCTCACATGTCCCCAACCCACCGGAAGATGCTGGGGCAGATGGGGAAATCTAGGGGTGGGGTGGGAGTGGAGGTGGAGAGGAGAGTTGCCTCCGCTATGGGGGAAGAGTTACAACACTCCCATCTTGGGGACAGGCTTACCTTCTAAATGAAGAAGGCACTTAAGATAGACAGGTGGTATCTCAAGGATGACCAAGAAGACACTAGACCTAGAGCCAGAAGAGGGACTTTTACAGGAAGATGTGGGTGGAAGGGGTGTGGCTGAGAAACAGACAGACAGACAGATAATGTACCTGGATGCAGCTCATTGTCTTTTCTGTCGTTTGTTTCAATAGAGAAGTAGAAGCCGGGACTGGTGTTTCATGTCTATAATCCTAGCTACTGAGGAGGCTGAGATCTGAGGATTGCAGTTGAAAGTCAGCCTGGGCATGAAAGTTCCTGAGACTCTTATCTCTAATAAACCACCAGAAAACCAGAAGTTGTGCTGTGGCTCAAGTGGTAGAGTGCTAGCCTTGAGCTGAAGAGTGCAGGGACAGCGCCCAGGCCCAGAGTTCAAGTCCCACGATTGACCAAAAAAATAAAGAAAAAGAGAAGTGGAGAGGCACCTCAGAGCCTCACATGCTCCGAGTATGGGCTGTCACACTGAAGGCAGAACTCTGCAGTTCCCCACTGCTTCCATCCCATAGGCCCCAGGGTCACCCCACAGCTTCACCCAGCCTCAAAGATTCAACTTCTCCAAGGCCCCTAGGAGAAGAGGAACAAATGTGTGGCAAGGAGGGCTGACCACTGAGTTCCATGCTCCTGCTGAGACTGAGGTTGGACCACTGACGTCTATCTGTCCCTAGCCCGAGGACCCCAGACAAAGAGACACACTGCATCTCAGCCATTCAATACTTTCCTACCTGCCTTGCACACGTGCCCCTGCATACACACACATCCACAACAAATGCATACATGCAAGTGTGCATGCACATGCCTGTGCAATCACACGTGTGCATGTGTGTGTGCACAAGCATGTGCATGTGAGAGCTTGTATGCATAAGCAAATGTGTGCAGATGCAAATGTGTGTGCATCGATGTGTACCTGCATGTGTACTGTGAGTTGATGCATGTACTGAGCATGAGCACAGATGTCTGTTTGTGCCCTGTGTCTGCACATGCACACACACAGGGCCATGAATAGACATGTAATTCCAAATCCTGTTAGTCACAAGCCTGCTTGTGGATACACACTCATTTTTCCCAAATGCATGACACCCACAAATACACATCTGCACATTGGCATATCTCACATGGCCAATCTTCTAACAAACAGAGTCTTAAACTACTTTTAGTATTTATTTGGCTTAACCATGGTAAGATGGAAAAACAGATGCAATGTTTGTGTGTGTGTGCTTGTATTGGGATTTGAAGTCAGGGCCTGGGCACTGTCCCTTAGCTTTTTCACTCAAAGTTGGTGCTCTGCCACTTGAGCCAAACCTCCACTTCTGGCTTTTTAATGGTTCACTGGAGATAAGAGTCTTGCAGACTTTCCTGCCCTGGGCTGGCTTTGGACTGCAATCCTCAGATCTCAACTTCATAAGCAGCAAGGATTAGAAGTCTAAGCTGCTGACTTCTGGCCAAAAGAACCCCATCTCAAAATACATCTGTGAGCCACGTGTTTACTTAATGTATTCATTTGTGCCATGCTGGGTGTTGGTCTTGGGGTGTCAAATGTACTGGGAAAACACTCCAGCTCAGCCCCATGAATGTTTAATTTAAAATTTTCTAGCACGGACTAGAGACATGGCTCAGTGGTAGAGTGCCAGCCTAGCAAGTGTGAGTCTTGAGTTCAATTCCTAGTTCACACACACAGAGACTTAACAGCCATATGAAAAAGGTGTAAGGTGTGTTGGTGGCTCACACCTGTATTCTTAATTACTCTAGAGGCTGAGATCTGAAGATCAAGACTAAGGGGCAGCACCCAGGCCATAAGTTCATGCGCCTGTCCTGGCTCACCCCCAACCCCCACACATGGTTAAATTCAAGATAATATTAAAATGGCTTCCTCAATCTAGTAAGGATAACCTTCTGTTTCCAAATGATTGCCAAGTCCTGTCAACTCAGGGAAGATCAGTGTAATGGTGACTCAAAGTCACATCTCAGAAGTCAGCCCTTAACCAATGGGACTGCTTATAGATGGATGAGTGCCAGGGGAGATGGACCAATTGAAAGCTGACTTGCTTTGATTGACAGGGGCAGGGGGCAGGGCTTTGGTTGGGCATATTCCTTTTGCTTGAAAGACCTGTAAGTCCCTGGCTTTCCTTTAAGAAAGCGCTATTAAAGTGGTGGCACACAAGGCTGCAGATGTAGCTCAGGGTGGTATAGAAGGGGACATGCCAGCACTTTCTTGGGAGAATTGAGACCCCGTGGAGTGGGAGGACACACACTGTCCCGAAGGTGGCCGTGAGCCTGGGCAGGGATGGGGCTCCTTAGAAGAAACTGAGGCTCCGTGCATGGAGGAAGAGTTGGGAGACACCATGGAAGGAGAGTATGGCGCAGAAAAGTCTGGAAGCCCTCCCTCTCCCCTGCTGAGAATATGGGGCAGGGGTCCAGCATCTGTATGCTTAGCTCCTTTGGGGACCCCCCCTCAATATCCTCACCCCTGCATTCTCATCCCAGCATACAATATATAAGGGCCGCATCCTCCTCCTTATTGCCCATACCATCATCATTTCACCATCGCCAAGAATGTCGTCATCGTCGTCGTCATCATCATCATCATCATCATCATCACCACCACCATCATCATCACCTTTTTTTGTGTGTGTGCCTGAACTCTGGGCCTGGGCACTGTCCCTCAGCTCTTCAGCTCAAGGCTAGTGCTCTGCCACTTGAGCCACAGCAATACTTCTGGCTTTTTCTGCTTATGTGGTGATGAAGAATTGAACCCAGGGCCTCATGCATGCAAGGCAAGCACTCTACCACTAAGCCACCTTCCCAGTCCCATTATCATCCTCTGTGTGTGTGTGTGTGTGTGTGTGTGTGTGCGCGCGCGCAAACGCGTGTGCCCACCCGTTTTAGCCCTTCAACTCAGAGCCTCAGAACTATCCTTCAGGCTTATTTTTGTTTTGTTTCTTATTTTTAACCCAAGGCTAGCACTGTACCAATTGAGGCACAGCTCCACAACAGCTTTTTGGTGATCCATTGGAAAAAAGAGTCTCACAAACTTTCTTGGCCCAGGCTGGCTTTGAGCTGTGGTTCCCCAGACCTCAGCCTCCTGACTACTTGGGACATGGGAACCTGGCTCCTCACCCTTATAATCACCACCACCAACATCATCATCATCATCATTTGGTTTATTTCCAGCCTCCAAGTTTGCGCCACCCATCCCTGAGCCCCCTTTCCGCTCAAACGACCTCAAGCCGTGCCCCTCAGGTGGCAGCAGCGCGCTGCGGTCCAGTCCATGCCCCCGCACTGACAGTGGCACGTGTTCCCGGCACGCACATCCCACGAGCCACAGCCCATGCCACACGCGCATCCCGTGACAACATGACCTGCAGGGGTCGGGGAGAGAGAAGAGAGATTGGACCACTGAACTGGGACTCGAAGCAGGGGTGAGGAAGGGGTCCAGGTGGAGACTCCAACACAAGAATGAGAGCCGGGTGCCATTGCAAGGCAGGGAGGCATTTCTGGACCCCAATATTGTGAGGAAGTGGATTCAGGGGAACTGAGGTTGCAGGGAGCAGGCTGGGGCTACAGAGGCAGGAAGTGAAAGGAGGGAGATACAAGACCTTTTATTTACTATTATTTTGGGGGGCCTTGGGCTTGAACTCAGGGCTTGAGCACTGTCCCTGAGCCTCTCTGTACTCAAGACTAGCACTCTACCACTTGAGCCACAGTTCCACTCCCAGATGTTTTTTTTTTCTGAGTATTTTATTGGAGATAAGAGTCTCACAGACTTTCCTGCCCAGGCTGGTTTTGAACCATGATCTTCAACTCTCAGTCTCTTGAGTGAGTAGCTACGATCACAGACATGAGCCACCAGTGTCCAGCTACATATGGGGTCTTGGGACACAGGCGAGAGGCTCCATGACACATGTTTGTACTCACCTGCAGGGCAGGAAGCCAGGTTCCCACTGGATTTCACAGTCCTACAATCCAGTCCAATGCCCTTGAGCGCCATTGAAACTGCAAGGGGGACAATGGGGAGGGCTTTTGACCAGCTGCCAGCTGGCCTCAGTCCTCAAGCTGGGAGATCCTCCCAATTACATCAACAGATTCCTCAGCACTAGTATGGTAACACATGCCTGTAATCCCAAGCGCTGGGAGACTGAGACAGGATTGAGAATTCAAGACCAGCCTGAGCTATGGAATGAGACCTGGCCACACAGCCAGGTGGCTCACACTTATAATCCTAGCTACTCAGGAGGCTGAGATCTGAGGAGATCAAGGCCTGCCTGGGCAGGAAATCTCTGAGACTCCTTATCCCCAACTAACTAGCAAAAATCTGGAAGAAGAATTGTGGCTCAAGTGGTAGAGCACCAGCCTGGATTGAAAAAGCTCAGGGATACCGCCAGGACATGAGTTCCATTTTTGCCTGGACTTGAGTATTTCTGAGTAAGACTAGGTTTGGGGTGAGCATGGGAGCAGGGGTTGAGTTTGGAGCTGTGGTTCCAAGGCAGGGTGAGGCCTGATGGGGAATGGGCTATGGTCAGAAGTTGTGGCTGTGGTGCCTTTGTAGTTGACATTTGGTTGGAGCTGGGCCAGGACAGGGTTACATTAATGTCTGGAACCAGAAGCCTCTAAATCTCTGGATGTTTGTGGGGGAGGGAGGGGTCCTCACTTTGCGGTGTGACAGCATCCTTTATCTTCTGATTGATGGCATCTTCCACGGGGCACAGAGACTCACTGGACACCAACAGAGCCAGGACAGAGAGGACAAAGAGGAGCAGAGACGGAGCCTTCATCCTGTTGCTGTAAGAAAGAACCAAGGGACCCAGGTCCAGTCAGGGGGAGAATTTCACTTGCAACACCAGCCATCCTGGGTCTCCTGTGGGAGAGGAAGACAAAAGTGCAGGTTTGTCCCTGGCCCCTTAAAATGGGATTCCAGGGGGCAGATCACTTACCGATCAGACTCGGCAGGACACAGATCAAACCTAATATTAGATGTCTAGGTCAGGTAAAACACAGCACACAGGTCCGAGAGAGGAGGAAAGGTTGAATGTCAGACAGACAGACAGACAGGCTACCTGCACAGAGAGGGGCCCAGCAGCTGCCCTTATGCTGGGGAGGGCAATTTTAAAGGGGCAGACCTGCCAGAAGGTGGGAGTGGAAAGTGCATTTTGGGAGCGCTAATTGGCCAGGAAGTCAGACGAGGCAGAGTGACCTGACTTAGGGAAAGCCAGGGGGAACTTGAGCAGGTGGAATGCGGACCTCCACAGGATGACTCCACCCGAGTCAACACTCAGGACTCCAATTCTCGGGCCACAGCTGTGTCTTGGAGGCCTGAGGGTGGAGACCTTCCTGTCATTACTAAGAAGTCCCTTGGCCCTTTCCCCCCACCTTCCTTCCCCCTTCTAGAACCAAGAAGAAACTCAAGATGGAAATCAGAAAGGTCTCACAGGGGGAGACACTGCCACCTCCCTGCCATGGCCTCCTCTTCCAGGGGGACCCCCATGTCCACACCTGGGTCAGCTCAAGATCAGGGGTCATTTCAGTTGGTGGCATCTGAGTGGCAGAGGATAGGAGTTTGTTTGCAGACATGGGGGACCCCGCCCTACTGGAACAACTGTTACTTTGGGAGCCTTGCCCATCAGGTTTATGCCCAGTGGAGGATGGGGCAGCCAGGCCCCAGGGGTGACACCTGCAATTCTAGCCACTCAGGAGACTTAGAATGAAGTAAAGAGGTCAGGTCTGGCCGGCTCCATATTGGGCACATGGTTAGATGTTAGGGTCTGGCATCTTGTCTTCTGGCTGGGGGAAGGAAACCCCCTACCTTACCCCCTAGGTAATGGCTCATCTCTGGTCATCCTGGTGTCCCAATTCAGCTCTCCATTGGAGATTGGTATTGTTTTTGTTCTTTCTTTCCTCTTTAGCATGTTTCCTAGCTGTGTTACATGTATATTCATGCTGCCTGCCTTTGTAACAACCTGCAGCGTGCTAACTGTATAATAAAGACTCCTGATATTCTATATTTCAAAATGTGGCTTCTGGGATGATTCACCTTACAATGAAGGTTAAAAGCCAGCCTAGAATGGAAAGACGGTGAAATGCTGTATCTCTAAGTACAGCAGAAAGTAGAAAGTGAGGCTGTGGCTCAAGTGTTAGAGCATCAGTCTTAAATAGAAAAACTCAGGGACAGTGCCCAGGCCCTGACTTCAAGCTCCAGGACTGGTAAATACATACATACATACAAACAAACATACAGAAGTCAAAGAGAGAAAGACACAGAGAGGTAGATTTAGAGATAAAGGGAGAGACAGAGACAAGAGAGCAAGACACAGAAAGAAGAGGTAGAGGAGACAGGATTTTTTGGGTGCAAAGATTGCTTTCTTGGACTGGGAATGTGGCGTAATGATAGAGTGCTTGCCTAGCATGTATGAAGCCCTGAGTTCCATTCCTCAGTACCACATGAACAGAAGAAGCAGGAAGTGGTGCTGTGGCTCAAGTGTTTAGAGTGTTCACATTGAGCAAAAGAAGCTCAGGGACAGTTCCCAGGCCCTGAGTTCAAGCCCCAGGACCATTGCCATCAGGATCATTATCATCATTTGTGTGTGTGTGTATGTGTGTGTGTGTGTGTGTGTGTGTCTGTGTGTCTGTGTGTGTGTATGTGTGTGTGTGTGTCTGTGTGTGTGTGAGAGAGAGAGAGAGTTTTAGCCCTTGAATTCAGGGCCTCAGTGCTGTCCTTGTGCTTTTGTTTTGTTGTTGTTGTTGTTTTGGGTTTTTACCCAAGGCTAGCACTGTACTAACTGAGCCACTGGTCCACTACAGCTTTTTGGTGATCCATTGGAAATAAGAGTCTCACGAACATTTCTGGCCCAGGCTGGCTTTGAACTGTGGTTCCCCAGACCTCAGCCGCCTGAGTAGCTGGGACATGGGAACCTGGCTCCTCACCCCTGTCATCACCCTCACCCTTACAATCACCACCACCACCATCATCATCATCATTTGGTTTATTTCCATCCTCCAAGCTCGCCCCCCCAACCCTGTGCCCCCTTTCCGCTCAAACGACCTCAAGCCGTGCCCCCCAGATGGCAGCAGCGCGCTCCGGTCCAGTCCATGCCCGCGCACTGACAGTGGCATGTGTTCCCGGCACGCACATCCCACGAGCCACAGCCCATGCCACACGAGCACCCCGTGACAACATGACCTGCAGGGGTCGGGGAGAGAGAAGAGAGATTGGACCACTGAACTGGGACTCGAAGCAGGGGTGAGGAAGGGGTCCAGGTGGCTGGAGACTCCAACACAAGAATGAGAGCCGGGTGCCATTGCAAGGCGGGGAGGCATTTCTGGACCCCAATATTGTGAGGAAATGGATTCAGGGGAACTGAGGTTGCAGGGAGCAGGCTGGGGCTACAGAGGCGGGAAGTGAAAGGAGGGAGATACAGGACCTTTTTTTCCTGGGCCTGGGGCGTGAACTCTGAGCCTGGGTGCTATCTGTCCCTGAGCCTCTCTGTGCTCAAAGCTAGTACTCTACCACTTGAGCCACAGGACCACTCCCAGTTTTTGTTTTGTTTTGTTTTTCTGAGTAGTTCATTCTCAGCCTTTCCTGCCCGGGCTGGCTTTGTATTGTGATCCTCAAATCTCAGTCTCTTGAGTAGCTAAGATCACTGACATGAGCCACCCGTGCCCAGCTACATATGGGGTCTTGGGACACATTGGAGAAGCTGCATGACACATGTTTGTACTCACCTGCAGGGCAGGAAGCCAGGTCCCCCCTGGATGTCACAGTCTTACAATCCAGTCCAATGTCCTTGAGCGCCTCTAAAACTTCAAGGGGGACAATGGGGAGGGCTTTGAGACCAGCTGCCAGCTGGCCTCATTCCTCACGCTGGGAGATCCTCCCAATTACATCAACAGATTCCCCAGCACTAGGATGGTAACACATGCCTGTAATCCCAAGTGCTGGGGAGACTGAGACAGGATTGAGGATTCAAGACCAGCCTGAGCTATGGAATGAGACCTGGCCACACAGCCAGGTGGCTCACACTTATAATCCTAGCTACTCAGGAGGCTGAGATCTGAGGAGATCAAGGCCTGCCTGGGCAGGAAATCTCTGAGACCCTTTTTTTTATTGTTGGGTGGGTGGTTTTTTTTATTTGTTTGTTTTGGGTTTTTTGTTGTGGGGCTTGAATTCTGGGCCTGGATGCTGTCCTCGGCCTGGGTACTGTCCATGACTCCTTCAGCTCAAGCCCAGAGCTCTACCACTTGAGCCACAGCGCCATTTCTGGTTTTCTGATGGTTAATTGGAGGTAAGAGTCTCATGGACTTTCTTGCCCTGGATGGCTTTGAACTGCGATTCTCAGATTTCTGCCTCCCAAGTAGCTAGAACTACAAGTGTGAGGCACCAGTGCCCAGCCTCTGAGACTCTATCTCCAGCTCACTAGCAAAAAGTTGGAAGTCAAGCTATGGGTCAAGTGTTAGAACACCAGCCTGGAGTGAAAAAGCTCAGGGACAGTGCCAGGCCATGAGTTCCTTTTTTGCCTGGAGTTGGATATTTCTGAGTAAGACAAGGTTTGGGGTGAGCATGGGAGCTGGGATTGAGTTTGGAGCTGTGGCTCAAGGCAGGGCTAGGCATGGTGGGAATTGACTCTGGGCAGAAGTTGTGGCCGTGGTGGCTCTGTGGTTGACATTTGGTTAGAGTTGGGGCCGGGCAGGGTCACATTCGTGTCTAAGACCAGAGGCCTCTAATTCCCTGGATGTGGGGAAGGGGTTCCTCACTTAGAGATGTGACACCATCCTTCAGCTTCTGATTGATGCCTTCTTCCAGGGTACACAGAGACTTGCTGGACACAAACAGACCCAGGAGAGAGAGGAGGAGTAGGAGGAGAGACACAGCCTTCATCCTGTTGCTGTAAGAAGGAACCAAGAGCCTCAGGTCCAGTCAGCCCCTTACAGGAAGGGGAGGATTTTGCTTGCCTCACCAGAACCCTGGGACCTGCAATCCTGGTTCTCTTATGGGAGAAGCAGATCGAAGTCCAGGTTTGTCCCTGGCCCCTTAAAATGGGAGTGAAAAACGCAGATCACTTACCCAGCGAGACTCGGCAGGACACAGATCAAACCTAGGACTCAAATTGTTGTGCCACAGCTGTGTCTTTGAGGCCTCAGGGTGGGGACCTTCCTGCCTTGGCCAATAAGTTCCTTGGCCCCTTTCACTCTAGCTTCCTTCCCACTTCTGGGGCCAACAGGAAATCCAAGGAGGAGATTGGAGAGGTCTCAGAGGGGAAGACACTGCCATCTCCCTGCCACGGCCTCCTCTTCCAGGGCCCCCACGTCCACACTTGGGTCAGCTCAAGCACAGGGTCATTTCAGTTGATGGCATTTGAGCAGCAGAGAATAGGAGTTTGCTCGCAGAGGTTGGGGAGACCCCACTCCACTGAAACAACTGCTACGTTGTGAGCCTTGCCCATTGTATTTTGGATGGAACAGTGAGACACCAGCAGTTATGCCTGTTATCCTTGATACTCGGGAGGCTGAGATCTGAGGATGGAGTCCATGAGATGCCAGTGAACCAGCAAAAACGTAGGAAGTTGACTTGTGGCCTAAATGGTAGAGAATCAGTCTTAAACAGGAAAGCTCAGGGATAGTGCCCAGGCCCTGAGTCCAAGCCCAATGACTGGCACCAGATTGGGGTAGGAGGGGGTGGAGTGGAGAAACAGACACAGAGAGATCAATTTAGAGAAATAGACAAAAAAGACAGAGAAGAGACCAAGACAGAAGAGGTAGAGAAGGCAGAATTTTTGTGTGCAGCGATAGCTTTCCTTTGTGAATACAAGTGTTATCAGCTCATTTCTTTCCCACTGTTAGTATATGTCTGTCTGTCTTTGAAGCCTCATTTGAACAAAGAGGATTTTTGTTTTAAGTCACTGGAAAGGCTGTTGCCATCTTCCCAAGAACTTCAGGCTTCTGATTGGCTGCCTTGCCAGAAGATGACTCGTTGCCTTGGTAACCAGGCTGTGATGATGGGCGGCTCTAGGAAATCAGGAAGAGTGTTGGGCACTTGCTTTGTCTCCAATGAGAATGATCAGAAATAAACACAAAAGCCTTGGGTGATGCCAAATTTCCTTAGCAAGGACCCAGGGAGCCTCCTCCGTCCCTTTAGGCAAATAAAAAAAGATCTAATTTGCCCTGGGAAGAAGTCAGAGCTGTGGCAGGATTCTCGGGAGGTCTAGGGAGGGGCTGAAGGAGCCAGGCAGGACTTAGGGGCAGGGCTCAGTGACAACCTCGAGAACAGGGGACGAATATCTTAATATTTTTCCTTTCGCAAACCCACTCCTGTCTCCAAGGACCCTTCCAGGAAAAGGGAGGCTGACCAGTCAGCTGATTGACCTTTCCTTCTTGGTCCCACCCCTGCAAGTATTACGATCACCCTATCTGCTATTTGGGGAAAGTTTAACCCTGTGGTGTAGGACTAGTGACCTTATTTAATCACTACAAATAGCCATTGAGTTAGTTGTGATAATCATCTCTGCTTCCAGACAGAATGATTAACTAGTACTGGATCCGAAAGCCAGTGTAGAGAGAAGTCAGATTTGAACCCATGATTGAGTCTAGCACCAGGCCAGTCTGGTTTCATTCACTATAAGGTGTGTTGGAGAGGGGTACAGGGCGGGGGAGAAGGTTAAGGGATGTTTCTTGGGTGGCCACAGCTGTGTATCAGGTTCTGGTGGCTCATGGCTGGCAATTCAAGCTACTCAAGAGGCTAAGATCTTGGGCTGGAAAGGTGGCTTAGTGATAGAGTGCTTGCTTAGCATGCATGAAGCCCTGGGTTCGATTCCTCAGTACCACAGAAACAGAAAAGGCCAGAAGTGGTGCTGTGGCTCAAGTGGTAGAGCTCTAGCCTTGATTGCAAAGCTCCAGGGCAGCACCTAGCCCTGAGTTCAAGCTCCAGTACTGCCTCCTCCTGCCCCAAAGGGGGAAAAATTACAGAAATTTACAAAAGAAAAGTGTTCTTGCCTTTCTAAGCCACTGAAGAAATCGAGAAATGACTGGGGGAAAAGGGGAGTTTATGGAGCAACCCTTCTCCTCCTGAAATGAGGAAGTGTGAGTGCTGAGGCCATCTGGTCACAGTTTCCTGGAATGAAGGAAATTCCCCATCTCCCCAGCCTCCACCACACAGCCCACAACAGCACAAATCCACCAGGCTCAGATTCCTTCAGACAGCCCTGTGCAGTTAGTGAGATAAGACAACTGCCTGTGTTTTCGTTTGAGATCTTTTCTTTTTCTTTCTTTCTTTTTTTTTTTTCTGTTGGTCATGGGGCTTGAACTCTGGGCCTGGGCGCTGTCCCTGTGCTCTTCAGCTCAAGGCGAGCGCTCTACTGCTTGAGCCACAGCACCACTTCCAGTTTTTGAGTGGTTTACTGGAGTCTCACAGACTTTTCTGCCTGGGCTGGCTTTGAACCATGATCCTCAGATCTTAGCCTCCTCAGTAGCTAGGATTACAGGCATGAGCCACCAGTGCCTGGCTAAGATCTTTTTTTTTTTTTTTTCTTGTGTGTTACTCAAGACCTGCTGCTTGCTGGGCAGGTGTTCTAACACTGAGCCCAAAATGGGACAGCAGTTGTAAGGAGCAACTCAAAGCCACATTCAAAAAATCACAGGCCAGCCAGGCACTGGTGACTCACACCTGTAATCCTAGCTACTCAGGAGGCTGAGATCTGAGGATCATGGTTCAAAGCCAGAATGAGCAAGAATTCCGTGAGGTTCTGATCTCCAATGAACCACCAAAAAGCTGGATGTGGAGCTGTGGCTCAAGTTGTAGAGTGCTAGTCTTAAGCACAAAAGCTCAAGGACAGAGCCCAGATTCTGAATTCAAGCCCTAGGACCAGCAAAACCAAACAAAATAAAAGAACTATGATATCATCCTGCTATGTCAAGGTGTCAAAGTCAGCTTACTATAGAGACACCTGCACACAACACACTTTGGGCAGCACTATTCACAATAGCTAAGTTATGGAATTAGCCTAGGGGTCCATCAACCCATGAGTGAATTAAGAAAATGTGGTTTATCTACAGAGTAGAGTATTATTCAACCATAAAAAAGAATGAGGTCATGTCAGTTGCTGGGAAATAAATAGAACTGGATCTCATCACAGCAAATGAAATAAGCCAAACACACAAAGAGAAGCATAGCATATGTTTTTTTCTCATTTGTGGAAGTGAGGGGAATAAAAGGTCATAAAGTAAAAGGACTACTAGGGAAGGGGAACAGAAGGATCAAAGGAGAAAGGAATATGAAAAAGCAGGAAGAAGTGAGTATAGTGGAAATACATTGTATGCATGTTTGGAACTTTTATAATAAACCTCTTGCTCTGTGCAATTAACATATGCTAATAAAAATGTTACCGTAGGACTGGGCACAGTGACTGTGTAGGTTCAGCTAATCAGGAGGCAGAAATAGAAGGACCTCAAAAGCATTAGACCCTAGCTGACAAAGCAACAAAGGGGCTGGAAGCCAGGCCTACCTGGTGAGGGACTGTGGATAAAGAGGCAGGGGGCAGGGGTATGGCCAAGGAGGCAGAGGGCGTGGCTCAGCAGTAGGAGCCTTGCACCAAACGGTGGGGGGCAAAGCTCAAGTGGTAAGGGGCGTGGCCCAAGCGGTATGGGTCACAGATCCTGTTAGAGGGCAGGGCTCAGGCGGTAAGGGCGGGGCCAAGCTGTAGGCGTGGCCAAGCTGTAGAAGCTATGGATCAAGCAATAGGGGGCGTGGCTGAAGCAGGATTGGCCATGAATCCTATTAGAGGGCGTGGCTCAAGTGGTAGGAGGTGGGCTCAAACAGTAAGAGGCGGAGCTCAAGAAATAGGGGTGGGGCTCAAGAGGTAGGAGGTGGGGCTCAAACTGTAGAGGTGGGGCTAAGCGGTAGGGTCTGGGTATATCAACTGGTAGGAGTGGCTCATTATCTGCCTAGCAAGCACAAGGCCCAGAGATCAAACCCCAAAACTATCACAGAAAATTTAAAAATTTAAAACAAAAATTTGATTTTTTTTCTTTTCTTCTGGATTTGAAGGGTTTCAGAAGAGAACTTGATGACCCGGGTGGAGAGCCTTCTGCCCGGTCCCTGTAGCTTACCAGAGTCCTGGCAAACCCATCTAGTCCCATCAGATCAAAGCTTTTCTCCTTACAGGGCGACTTCCGTTCCCCAAACACCATTTCACAACATTGCTGACAGCAACTGTTGTTTTAACATTTTGAGCAACAAAAAAAAAAAAAAGGAAAAAAAAGAAAAAGGGAAACCAAACACCAGTGGCTCCTGCCTATAATCCTAGCTACTCAGGAGGCTGAGATCTGAGTTGCAAGGTTCAAAGCCAGCCTGGACACTAAAGTCCCTGAGACTCTTATCTCTAATTAACCAGCCAAAAAGCCAGAAGTGGCACTGTGGCTCAAGTAGGAGAGCACTAGCCATTAGCATAGATGCTTAAGGATAGCACCCAGGCCTTAAGCTCACATCCCACATGCACACACACACACACACACACACACAGTAATAAAATTAAATAAAAAGTGGAAGTTGAGAAAGTTTGAGTACTGGGATGAATCCCAGGGGCTTGTGCATGCTAGCAAACATTCTACCTCTTGAGTCCCACCTCTAACCTGAAACTCATTTTGCTTTTGGGTGGTGCTGGGATTTGACTTCAGAGCCTTGTGCTTGCTAGGCAGATATTCTTACTACTTGATCTATACCCACTAACATTTTAGTGATACCTCCTCTCGTTACTTAAGCCACATCTCCAGTGGTTTTTGGCTTTAGTTATTTTTCAGATAGATTCCTGTGGCTTTTGTCCAGGGTCAGCGTGGGTCAGTGATCTTCTTACCTAAGGCTTCCTACATAGACAGCTGGTATGACAGGAAAGCCCCGCACCTCCTTATAGATTAAAATGAGGTCTCACTACCTTTTTGCCCGGACTGGCCTTGAACAACAATCCTCCTGATCTCCACCACCTCCTGAATAGTTAGATGCTGAGATGACATGTATGAGCCACCATGCTTGGACTTTTTTTCCCACATAGGTTCTAACTATATATAGCCTAGGTTAATCTGGAATTTATGATTCTCTTGCTTCAGGTTCCAGAGTGCTAGGGTTACAGGTATGGTCCCATGCTTGGAGATATATGTAAATTATATGTA